AAGTCTACACACTTTCAGTCTGGCGTATACATACATCTAAGCTGTCCTTCTCAAAGAAACAGCCCACAATGACGTCCTTGTGTCCACCCAGTGAGTAGTAGATCAGGTTGGCCCAGCGCTCGGCGCCAAACACCCACGTTGACATGTCTTTGCTGCCCACCACAAAACACCTGCAAGAAAACGTCACAGTCACGGTTTAGTTTTTGCTAACTTAGAGGCTTCGTATTCGCTCTCGTGTCTCGTGAACCCACTTTGAGTCGTCCGTCCAGTCGATGCAGGTGGTTTCATCGTAGGGACCGTAGTAGCTTTTGTCCAAAACGAAGGCGTTGAACTCGCGGTGCTTCCCAGGAGCGTGGTACATCAGCGCCACGTTCTCCTTCGTCACCACAAACTTCCTGAAGAGGCAAAAACACAGCAGACAGGCTAGTTAGCTTTTAGCATATCTACTTTATCTGGCGGGACATTTTTCGGTGGGAATTATATTCTAAAGGTGCTCAAACATCTAAATTGAATTAGATTAAGCTAATGCTAATGTGACTAGCATGCTAGTTTTTCCACCAAAATGCCAAATTCTTTAATATTTTTGCTACCATCCAAACAAAACATACATTTCTTTTCATTCATATATCTAACGGTTTCATTACACTGTAAATATACTTTGAATGCATCCAGCTTTTGTTTACAGACAAAAAAAATACAAACATTTGAACTTGAATTCAATACAAATAGTGTGAAATAAAAGGGTGCCACATTGTCATGTTTTCATCTAAAATTCAAGTCAAAGTAACATCAATAAAATCCAAACTCCTGTTAATGATGTTAGTTACACTTCACACTGTGGTGTTGTTGTTTCAGGTAAAGGTGCGTCTTACCTGCCGTCAGGTGAGAAGCGGATGCTGCTCACCGGCTTGTGGAAGTGAAAATGATGCAGGACGGCTCGAGTGATGAGGCTGATGAGCAGCGCTGCTCCATCTGTTCGACAAAAACACGAACACACATTTTTGTTGTTGCGCAAGTCCTCCATAAAATCTTATTACCAGAAATCAGTTCAACCTCCTACCTTCATCCACCACGACCGCCAAGTTGCCATCAGGAGAAACGCCCACACAGGTTATATTCTTTGTCGTGGAGACGGGCAACGTCTCAGATGTGTTGCTGCAGGACGGAGAAGAAAACATTTCAGTCTTATTTTTAGGTTTTGAACATACTGAGCACCAATGAAAGAAAGAAAGGTGTGAATTATTGTGGCTGTTTTCTGAGAACAAATATGTTCTTTTTAACATGCTACAGACTCAAAATCTAATTAAACTTGATTTATTTCATAACAGAATCAGAATCAGTCGGTGTTTTAGTGCATTACAGTAAACACTAAGATGAAGAAAATGAAAAGAAAGATAAAGATTTTTTAAAAAGAAAGTAATCCAAGGAATTATGGGAAATAAAAAACAGAAATCTTAATTTAACTTGCAAATTAATTTTCCAAAAATGTGCAAAAGTCCTTAGTATATGGTGTAAATATTGTCCTACACACATGCAAATTCAAACATTTGTTTTTCCACTTGCTGACAAAAAAATATGCAAAATACACCGGCTGCAAATTCAATTCATTTTAAACACTGTATCTTATGAGTGATTACACCAGTGCTAATAACTTACAGTCAGCATGAACACACAGTGAATGATGCTCTGAATCTCTAACACATGGCTGCATCACTCATTTATGGTATTTACTCCACCATGACTTACTTTTTCAGGTCGAAGACAGAGATTCTGTTCCCAACAGGGCTGATGACAGCGTTTCCATCTTTGGAGAAGTTTAAATTTCCCTGACGATACACAGCTCCCAGCAAATTGGAAAACTACCATGAAGAAAACAGTGGAAATTGAACACCAGCTTCAAGGCAGATGTAGATAAATAGTTACTTCAAAAAACACAAATTTAAATACAGTTTGCTTGATTACAAGTAAGCCGAAATAATTTTAAGTGGTAAAACGTTGAAATAACAGAGTCATAAATGTGACGAGCAGTTTATGTAGCTACTAATATGCAATAACATCTTAAATTGAACAACTTTTGAATGAAGTCTGCTCTTAGTATTGCCGAGCAGAGCGACACTAGCGAACAGCAGCGAACTCACCCTGTAAGCGAACTTCATTTTACTCAATATTCCGTAACTTCAGTACATTTATCTTCGTTTTAGTTCTTTAAAAACCTCCGTAGAAGTATGAAAAATACGCCGCATGCTTCTTCTTCCTCCACACGTGTTTGTTGACACTCTCCTCGGCCGGTGTGAGTGGAGCTACGGCAGCAGCAGCAGAGCGCCACCTGGCGGCCTGGAGGGAAACTGCAGCCACGACATCACTGTTTTTGCTCTTATTGTGCACTAAAAATTCTGTATACCTGCAAATTTTCTTCAATATTAGTATTATATTGTGGTTTGTTAATGTGTCCACCTATCCCACTTTTCATCAGCAACACAAAAATGTACAAAGTATGATTGTTTTGTGTCTCTTTTTGTTATTTTTTGTGTCAGTTTTAGATTGTTAGTCGTCTTTTTTTGGGTGTTTGTCATTGTTTTGTGTTTCTGTGGTTGTTTAAAGCCAGTTTGTGGTCATTTCTTTGTCTCTTTTTAATTGTTTTGTGTCTCTTTGGGGCTGTTAATTGGGTCATGGTGTCTTTTAATGGTCTGAACACTGTTAACTTGAGATTTTCACACCACAACAGCAACAAGTAACATTTACAATGACTGCAGTCTATGGAATAATAAATAAATACATTAATTGGCTCTTCTGTATTTGTGTTTCTAATTTATCAGAGATATTCAGCAAACAAACTCGTGTGAACTAAATGGTTGTTTTCTGTGTCTTTGTGATCGTTTTGTGTCTCCAGAGCTGTTTTTTTAAATAAATTTTTTTATTCTTTCTATGGTATTTTGTTTTTTTGTGCTCATTTTTTGTTTCTCTAGTTGGACTTCCTCTAGTTTTAAATTTTTGTGATTGTCTTCTGTCTATTTACAATTGTTTTGTAAGTGTTTTGTGATTCTTTGTGGTTGTTTTGTATCTTTTTACAAATGTTTTGTGTCTCTGTGGTTATTAAGTCTCAGTTTATGTTTCTCCAAATGTAAAACCCTCACCCTAACAAAGCCGTTATTCCAAAAACATGTTGTTGTCGTGTCAAAGAACAAATGCAGGTTTAAGTATTGTGGTAATGCAGCTGCTGATATGAATTCAGAGGTTTATTGGCTCTTCTGTATTTACATTTATCCTGTCAGAGGTAAACTTGTGACGTCTTTACATTCAAGTCAGAAACAGTGAAAACTCAAAATCAGTGACACACTTGGAACTGAGCTAAACCAGGCCGACTTTTCAGGTTGCTTCCTCGCCGGCCTTCACACGATCCCCCCCTCGTGTCCACTTTTAATCCCCCGGCTGAATAATTCATCAGCTGCAGTACACAAACAGCACACGTGTGGAAATGGGCCGGCGCCAGAATGGACCTGAAAGCGATACACAGCGAGAGATAACATCGGGTCTCTGTTTGCATGTTTTTCTGGAACACTTGGCTGCTGCTGATTGGATGGCGCGACGTGTTGCTGCCGACGGCTCGTAAACGGTTCCGCTCACCAACTCTTTCACCTCAGGGTTTTGTGCCAGAGGTCGAAGCACGGCACCACGTGCAGCCGGACGTATTTCTGGCCGCCGGTGGAGCACTCGAGGCAGCCGTAGACGGTTTCCCGCCGCTGGTTTCCCATCCCGCAGAGGGCGCAGGGGCCTTTGGCGATGTTGTGTTTGAGGAGGTTGACCCGAGTGTGGGAGCTTTCCCTCAGGTAGGCGGTGGACACGTCCGTCATGCTGGCAGCCTTCTCGTAGTAGTCGGTCACCATGTCGTCCATGTAGGTGTCGGAGTGGGTGAGCTCCTCGAAGGTCCGGTCGTCTGCACAGGAGGGAGATTAAAGCAAAGAGGCAGAAGTACAGGTGTGATTACTGACACTAAAAATGAAACCAAATATTCCAAACAGTAAAAACAGAAAATATTGTCAGATTTGTAACTTTCCTTGAACTGCTCATCTTCAATCCAAAATTATGACATTTCATCAAAATCACTTGTTTCTTATCTAAATATATAACAAAAATAAACTGTTTACACTACATAGATCCTGTAAAAAAACAACAGAAGACCTGCGACCAGCAGTCGTACAGAAATCAGGAGAGATTTCAGTTTAATTGCAGGCAGTGTTTACCCAGAGCAGAGAGGAGGAAAGTATGGAAACAAGATAAAAATGTCTGAAGTACGTCGAGCTACACCTGTGGACACTTAGAGAAGTGTTCTATATGTTGTTTTCAGCTTTTTTTCCCCCAGTTTTTGTCAAATATATGGTCAAAGAAAGTCAACTTACTTGAACTCATCCTACCAAAGTGTTTCTCAGAAAAGAAAAACTTTTTAAAGTACATCAGGAGTTCCACCTCCTCTCTAATGTGACAGAGCAAAATGAAAAATACTGGATCAATAAAACAAATGCAGAATGGCTCATAAACAGAGGAGCGAGGTGTTGGAGGACACATTCAGCATGGTGAAACATCGTCCTGCAGTTCACGTGTAGAGTAGTTTCAAGTATTTCATTTAAAGTGTTGTTTTCATACCTGCTCTGAAGGGGTTTCCATAGATGATCCCAGACAGGAAGCGGCGCAGTCGCCCCATCGAGAATCGACCGATGAAACCGCCGAGCTGCTCGCTGATCTGCTCGCGCTCGAATCCGCCCTGAGACTCCGGAGCTACGCAAATATCTGAGCAAGAAAATATCAGTTCAGAAAACAGGTTGTGAGCGAATGTGACTATTTATGCCATCAAAATGGCTTTAATTTATGAATAAATTTGGTTGAAAAGTCATGAGCAGTCAGGCCGGTTAGCTCAGCTGGTCAGAGCGTGGTGCTAATAACGCCAAGGTCATGGGTTCAAGCCCCATACTGGCCACAATTTCACCAAAAGTTCTAACAGGAACCCTAAAGAAACTCTGGTTTTAGAGCGTTGGTCTAAATTGGCAGTGATTTCTGTTCCTTTCCTGACCATTCAGTCTGTTTTTGCATCAGATTCAGTGATATTTATGAACAAATGTGGTAAAGAAAAGGTCAAACATCAGGCCGGTTAGCTCAGCTGGTCAGAGCGTGGTGCTAATAACGCCAAGGTCATGGGTTCAATCCCCATACTGGCCAGGTTTCAGCAAGAACTTCGAACAGCAGACTTGACTGTCACGTGTTACTCAACCAAACTGGTCAAAGTCCTTTTGTGAGTATTCTCCAGACAAGACCATATCTGGGACCAACCGTAATCACTCCGTTAGCTTATCGGTTTTAACGTTTTGGGGCTCTTTGTGGTCATTTTCTTTGGTTTGTAAATGTTTTGTGTCTCTTGTGGTCAGTTTGTGTCTTTTTGTGAATGTTTTGTTTCTGTTTGTAATTTCTTTTCGCCTCTTTTGGTTTTTTTTTATTTCTGGAATAAATTTGCTTTAAAAATGCAGATGGCATGATGAACTCTGGCCAGTATGGGGATTGAACCCATGACCTTGGCGTTATTAGCACCACGCTCTGACCAGCTGAGCTAACCGGCCTGATGTGAAGCTGTTTTTCAACCAAATTTACACATAAAATAGACATAAGCTGGTTGTGAAAATGGTCACATTTGGGAGATATCCTTCTAACTAAACCTGGGCGGGATGTGGGTCGAACTCAAGGCCTTATGAAGAAAACCAGCTGAGCTAACTGTTAGCTTTAAGGTTGAGCAGTTCTCTACATGGTCAGGATTATAGTCAATGACCAAATAAATTAACCATGAAGGGACTCGAACCCTCAATCTTCTGATCCGAAGTCAGACGCCTTATCCATTAGGCCACATGGTCATATGCTGCTATCACTATGGTATGGTTAGTAGGAGTGGCTATGTCATCATGTCCTATCTGATATTAGCTTAGCTTGTCTTAAATTATCTGCTCTTGCTTGATCTTGTTTATTTTTTATTTTTTATTTAAAATTCTTTAACAAGCACCACGCCCTAACAATGATGTTAATGTTTTATCACGTATTAAAGCTGGATTCACATTTAAAGGTGCAATTGAACATCGTGTGGTGTATTTTGGTTTCAACAGATGATACACATGGTTGTTCTTCCTACCGAGTCGCCCGTCCAGCCGAACAAACAGCTCGCAGATGCTGAAGGCGATGGTGGTGTGAGCCGGGATGACGATGGCCTTGTCTCGACCTTTGGGGTTTCTGCCGTCGTCGATCTGAAACTGCAGCAGAGCAGAAAGCTGAGCGAACCACGACGCCGGCAGTTAGAACGACATGTGGAGAACATGTTTACCCTCATGGTCGTGCCTCTCACGCCGGCGTGGACGGTCAGGGAGCACTGGCGGGTGGTGCGAATGCTCTCCACCACCACGCAGAGGACGCTGCGACGGCTGTCCTTCGACTGACGAATGAGGCAGTGATCCAGGTCCACCTTCCTGCAGGACCAGAACATTTTAAACACCGGCTCTGGCTTTAACACCTGCTCAATGAGATAAACATCTACGGTCCATTTTCTTTTCCACATTGTCCTCGTGCATGTCGCCCCTGTATGTGTGCCAGTGTAGAATAACACGATCATTTATTCATCCCTACAGGGAAACCCTCCTCTCACATTTCCTGTGGTCAGAGGTCAGGCATCGACTTATAACCTGAATCTAGATCTGAGAGACTTCACAGACATCACAAGAAGCTTCTACCTGGTTCTCTCTTTTCAAAAGGATGAATAATTCATTCAAAAATAACTTGATTATTAATAAAGCATCGCCTAAATGGCACTTCATCTAATCAGTCTTGTGCTGCTATGACGATGCTTCGACACCCAGCAGATGGAGATAAGAGGAGCAGGTGCATGCTGGGATACCTGGAGTTGAGCTCTCGCAGCAAAGTGGGAACCTCCAGCTCGTGTTTGGTCACGATGCCGAAGGAGGCTTTGACGGCCACCGAGTCGGAGCCGCTGATGTTGAACCCGACGTCGTTGATGATGTGGTTCCCTAATCGACCGTTGAGCGCCACGTCGGATTTGTCCTCGTAGTTGAGCAGCTGATAGGAAGACACTCCTGGCAGCGAGAAATTAGCTTGATTAGCTGTATTGTTCCGCACTTAAAAACTGTATTTTTTCTTTCTTTTTTTCTTCTTTTAACCATATTACAGACAGCACTATCTGACAGATGTAGTATCATGTCTTTTTATTTACAAATAACGAGTTTATACATAAATGTTTTGGAGCTTATAAATATTTTGTGTCCCTATTTAATCAACAAGAACAGTAAAGAACAGTAAAATGTTATCCGTAAGTGTATCATAAGTAATAATACAATCGTATGACTTATAAAGGAGTCATATGTTTGCCACTAATTTACATTATGTTTTAGTAGCGTGGAATTGCATTTACATAAACAAATTCTCAGTTATTGGAAATATTTAAGGATTATTCTCTCTGAATTTATAAAACTTAATTGTGTCTTGAAATAAAAACAAACAGAGCCCAGCTGTTTCTCTGTTAGCTAGCTGTTAGCTAAGATAACTGGTTGTAGCTTAATCTTCACATTTACAGTGACATTTCGACAATTACATAGCTACAAGTAGCAGCTACTTAGCTTAGGCTAGCATGAAGACTGGAAATTGGGGAAACTGCTAGCCTAGCTAACTGTAAAGCTCCCTAAATAGTCTCCAAACAGAGCCATGCTAGCTGTTTCTGCGCTATCTAGCAACTAGCTAAACTAACTTTTAGCCTCATATTGGCAGAACTGACATTACTGTTGGCTAGCATAGTTTAGCATAAAAAGTGGAAGCAAGGAAAAACAACTACCACAGCTTAATGCACAGCTCTAAAGCTTCAGACATACCAGCTTAGCTGTTTAGCTGTTAGCTGCTAAGCTAACAGCCTGCTGGCTATAGCTTTGTATTTACAGTGTAGACTTTGATGTTTGGTAAATATAAAGCTACAAGCAGCAGTCAGTTAGCTTAGCCTAGCATTTAGACTGGAAGCAGGGAGAAACAGTTCATAAGCAGGTTAGCTGATTCTCTGCTGGCTAGCTTTAAATATCTAGCTTGAAGTTTCAGTGGAGACCCCATAAACCTTCCAAAGGTACCAATTATGATCGGCTGCTTTTGAAAAAATGTGCATTTCTATTTGATAAAATGAGTATCGAAGTTTAAATATAAAATATTTTCAATGGAGCGCAGGCACAGGCTGATATACTGTATAATACTGTCAGAAAGTGAAATAAGATGCTTATTTTCAACACTGAAAGAGGTAAATCTAATGTTTAAAAAGCAAAATTCAACCATACATGCCTCAGAAAAGGTCATCTATGTATTTGTGACGTTGCTGTACCTGCTGTGATCTCCTTCTCCCCCACCAGGATGTCTTTGAGTGAGAACGGGGTCGAGGCGTACTTGTTCTTCTTCCAGAAATGCCTCTTTCTCTTCCTGATGACCAGGCTGAGCGGCTGGTAGCGGTCGGCCTCGCTCAGGCTCGGCACCGGGATCAGCCTCCCCGTGTCTCCGACCTGCTTCACAAAGTTTTTAGTGGCGGCAGCAAACATTTTGAACCACGCGTGGATATGAACGCAGGCTGAAAAAACAGAATGCACCACACTACATGCGCTCTTCTCAATGGGGAGGCTAATTCGGGAGAGTTCTTTCAGACTCGTGAAACGTTAAATAATGCAGGTGATGTGTAAGAGAATATGGGACAAGGTGTGTGTTCACCTGATAGGTCGCCGAGGCCCTGCAGCTTCCTGTCACCTGACAAAGGAGGTGGAAGGACGAGTTATAAGATCACATTTACACCTTTTGTCAGCCCGTTATTTACAAATGTGGTTTTCAAGACTCACGATGGAAACGCATAGCAATTCTAAAAGGTTTGAAGACGTGTGTGTCTTCAGACGCTCCCCTTTGATTCTAATACACATCTGCTTTAGCCTTTCTTTAAAAAGCCTGAAAAGCGTTCTGGATTTTTTTAGGATGTCTCTGTGGTTGAGTTTGGATAATGTCCACCTTTCTGACTGGTGGCCTCCACTCATGCATGACAGGGCTGATCTCTCCTGTGGCCGCGCTGCTGTCTCGTCTGTACAGCCAGAAATAGCCGCTAAGTTTGTAGGTTTTCTGCTTTCCTACCACAGCAGCTGAGGTCAGTGTTAGTTTTCTATACGTTACACTCCCTTTAATTTTCACTTCTTGGCCAAAGGAGGTCATGTAATTGCTTAAAAGCAGGATTTCAGGATAAAAAAAGAATCCATCATGCTGTAATTCACACTTATGCACGGAGACTAGTCTGCTCCTCAGAATGTCAGATACACGTACTGAATGTTATATTTGGTTTAACCTGAAATCACCTGCTCAGAAAGTTTCACTTAACCACTGTCATGAACTGTGATATACATCCATCCATCATCTATACACCGTTTAATCCTCACTAGGGTCGCGGGGGGCCGGAAGCCAACCCAACCGAACCAAGGGGAAAGCAAGGGACACCCTGGACAATCTCAAAAACACAGTGGGCCAAAATTTAAAACCTGAACAACGTCGTGGGCCAACATTGAACAAATGAACCTTTTAATATGGACCAAAACAAATTTTGCTTTAACATTGAATATTGAACAAGCAACATTATATATAACTTAATAGTGGAGACATGCAAAATCAAAATATAAATAAAAAAACACATCAATGGCACAGTGACAGTTGTAGTGTGAAGTCGCTATGCCTACTGTCACAGAGGAGAAGAAGTTTCTAGGTCCTGTCCTGATTGACGCGCCAAAACAACAACAGGGCATTATGGGATTTGTAGTATTAGCGGTGAATGCGCTGTACAGTATAATACCGGGGGCAGCTCTAGTAGTCATTTGGTATTGTCTCGCGGGCCAAATATAATTACAAAGCGGGCCAAATTTGGCCCGCGGGCCAGAGTTTGACACCCCTGCCCTAGACTATCACAGGGCTACACTTAGAGACAGACAACCAAGCACAGTCACACCTACAGACAATTTAGAATCACCAATTAACCTCAACATGTTTTTGGACCTTGTGGGAGGAAGCCGGAGAACCCGGAGAGAACCCACGCTGCACGGGGAGAACATAGAGACTCCACGCAGAAAGATCCCGGGATGCAAACTGGCGACCTTCTAGCTGTGAGGCAACGGTGTTAACCACTGATCAAGCATTACTTTCTGTTTATCTGTGATCAGAATGCATGACAACACACCTTCTGGTCTACTGGCCCATATAAATGGGAATAAAGGCCATTTAAAGGGCTGATGTATTAAACATACACAAGTGTGAATAACTGCATGTAAAATCGATGTCCAAAACACAAATTTGTGACACACAAGGTGTGTTTTAACACAAGCAGGATCCTTTTGTAGGTTTAACCAAGTCGCTCTGGTGCATAAACGTGAACAAGTACTTTTAGTGTCTAAACTTAATGTAGTTTTGGTGTTTTTGAGGTTTGAACTTAATCGAGTAGTTTTCATGTCTAAACAGTTGCAGGGAGGTGGTTGGGGTGGATGGTGGGTCTACAAAGTCCCAGATGTTCACTTGTGTGTTTTTTAAAAATGTTTTTTCAACATGTACCAGATTTATATGAAGATGATTCATAGTTTCTTCATATTTTCTCAGTTTGCAGGCCTGCAGTGGTGCATCATGAACAAACATACAGCTTCTTCAGACTGGCAGTAAAAATTGAGTTAAAAAAGAGCAAAAGGGAGAGTTTAAGATCAGTTTGTAGAGCAGCTCTAACAGTGCACAACATCCACTGATGCTTCAGGAGTCTCATATAAGAGTCGACGTCTCAGGAGGAAATCGACGGACAAACAGGTTTCTTTGGGGCTTGACCTTTGTGACCTCTGGTTAACAGAATATGTTCTCTAACCTTTAGTTCATCACGGTGCACAAAACTACGAACGTGCAGAAGCTGAGCACAGGAACTGTCTTCCCATCTGCTTCGGTTTCTGTCCCATGTGGATCCTTAATGAGAAATCAGTCTGTTCTGCAAGCACCTCAAACACTTCCTGCCTTGTTCAGCAAAGGAAACAAGCAAAATCCAGCTCATCCACTGACAGAAACCCGACTTTAGGAACGCTTCGACAACTCAGCCGAGGCTAAAGTCACTCATGAAGAGCACACGGTTCTATGTAGGAATCAAAAGATGCTCATGATGTTTGTTTTGTTGTCCCCCCTCTGGGACGTCACCTTCAGGGACCGACGACAACACACCGACTTGGCAGAGCTTCATCCTGGAAAACCCATCAGCTGGATGTAACATGCACATTGTAAACCGCTCAGGCTGGAGCAGGCAGATGTAGGTCAGCAAGGCACATTTCAGGTAGACAGCAAAACAGAATGTGTTGTTTGCGAAGTTTGTTTCAGGAAAATGAATAAATACTGGAATTCCTTCAGCTTGATTCGCACAAAGAGACACGACCAAATGAATGTTTAGAATGATTTAAGGTTCGAAAATGGCGAATCAGAGATGCAGCAATCCTCATCAACCACCTTTTTCTTGTAGTTAAAAGTGCATTGCATGATTTTGACTTTAAACCCTGACATATTATCAGATTATGAAGTTCTGACAGACACATCCAGCAGATCCTGATGATCCTAAGTCAAATTTTAGTGCTTTGTTTTGGTCTCCTCCACCCTCGACTGGAAACATCTGGCTTCTAATGTTCACAAGCTAGCTGCTAACTATGTTAGCCTACTGCTGAGGGAAACTGAGGGTTGTAGCAGCTTTATGTGAAGCTGATCAACAATTACAAAAAAGTCATGGTTCAAATCCTTTTTCGTACATTGACTGTATGAAATCATGTGAGTGTTTCAAGTAGAAGAATGAAAAATGGTCCATTTTCTTGTTTTTTGTTTTTCGTATGGGACAAGAAACCACATTGATTTCAGTAACCAAACCTTTTTCTTATCAAAAGAGAAGCACAAACAAAAATAAGGGGTTTCTCTCATGCTGATATTATTCTAGAAGCTAAAGAAGTGAAGGTGAAAGGTCATGCAGCAAACTGAGACACTCCAACAACGTGTCCTGCACGTGCAAAAGGAACAAAATCCCTGAAAAAAAAAAAATCCTCAAATGCAGCTTTCAAAAGTCAGCAGCATGATCCAGCCCATCTTCTTTCATCAGGACAAATTTCATGCAGCCTTTAATTAGCTGCATGTTTCAAGGCGACTGCAGGAGCCCGAGGAGGAGGCTGGCCTTGAAATAAAACAAGAAGAAAATGATGAGAGAGCAGACGAGAAGGAGGGAGAGTCAGAGGGAGGCGCTGGGGGCTGAACGGGGAGCTTGTTTCAGTTTGCAGTAATCGCTCATCCAGGAGCCTGTTGCACTCAGGGATATTGGGATTTTTCAGTCTGGATGCTGTAGCTCGGGGGTCGGCCTCTCTCTGACTTCCTCGTCAGTTTTCGGTTTTGTGTGAGGACGCTGCATGTCTGGCATCCAGACATGGGCCCCTCGTTGCGCTCTAGGATTACCGTCTGCCTGGTCCTCACCTTGGCTCAGGTGATCGCTGTGACCTGCCAAGAAGATGCCAAGAACGGTGAGTGACAGCCGCCCAGATATGACTTCTGTGTCCTGATTGGCTTTCTGTCTGTTATCTGATATGTTTTGGTCATAATGGATGATTCCTCTGAAAGAAACATCTGTCCTTGCTAATACATACGTTTTAAATCTGTTAAATGCTGAATTTACCATTTCTTCCCATGTTTATTTTATGTTTTATGTTGCGTAATTAAAGCCTGTGTGAACACCTCCATCTGTGTTTTAAGAAAACTGACATGTTCCTTTTATTTTAACACAGTTCTGCTGTTTTCTCCATTACATCCCGGGTTTGTTCTTTTTCAACATTTAGGATCCTATAAAGTTAATCTGGGCTCTTCTGTCTCAGACCACACTGGCCTTGTGGTTTAGGAATGGAAGGTTAAAATCACACCCACTAAACCAGAAAGGCTTATTAAGCCTTAATGAAACACCATTTTCCTGTTCTGGTAAAACCCACTGAGTGATGATTAAGGTGTGTGTTCTTGCAAAACATCTGGGTGAAACTTTTCAGGAATTAATTCTTAAAGGCGACAACAAGCTTTGACTCAGATGTCTGAGGCTGAAGTGGCACAAAATCTCTCACAGACGGGGCAGATGTAGCTGTTCCTGTTCCTTTTTCTAAAATAAAATGTCCCAGTGGATGTGATCCTCGGTCAAAAATACTTTCCCCCCTGCAGGTCGCAGCACACACTAACGAGTGCACAGGGCCGGCCGGGCTATTTCAGTGCGAGGTCGAGGCTGATGAAGGGGTTCAGAGTGCCACGGCTATAATGATGTGGCCTTGTGGATGGGATGGACAAAAGCAGGCCACTAATTTTGGTCAGACCTCGGGCCAGAGGCAGACAAGACACACCCAGAGTGAGACGATGCTGGATATGAAATATGCTTCTCTCGCTTTTATCCAGCTTCACCTCCACCAAAGCATTCATGCTGCAAAGAAAAACTCCCAGACATGTTTGCCAGCTGTTTCTGGGCCTGAATCTGTCTTATTTAAGTGCAATAAAGCACATTTAAATGAATTGAATCCAGCTGTGGCCTGACAGGTGTGTCATGGAAGCTGAGAACTGTTGAACTGGTTTAATTTTAACAATAAATATGTGAATAATCAGTCAGAATACAAAATGATAGTAATACAAGCAAGACAAGAAGACAAAACCTTTATTTTTATGCTTTGAGCTGCATTCAGATTAAAGGTTTACATGGTTTAGGACCTTAAAAGTTTTCTGAAGGCTGCTAAGAGGATTTATTTCTTACATATATTTAAAATATATATATATTTCTGTTCAGTGTTGGTTAGTGAGTCTTTGTGTTGCAGATATTTTTTAGATTCATTCGCTTTAAACGCTACCAAGCTGAAAAGCTAAACAACTGCTGGCATTAAATGTAGCATACAGACAAAAGAGTGCTATTAATCTTTATATCTAACTCTCAACAAGAAAGCTAAAAAGCTAACTTCACTTCCTGGAGATTTGTCATCTGCTTAGTTCACAGTATGTCGTCACTTCCTCCAGCCTGTATGCTAAGCTAACAGGCTGCTAGCCGTAGCTTTATATGTAGCGACTATAATGTTCTCATTTAACTTTTGAAAAGAGGGCTAACAAGCTAACGGTACATCCTTGAGTCTAACCAAGAAACCTGCTTAGCTCACAGTAAGTCACCACTTTGCATTCTTTTCAGTTTTCTGTGTGCTAAGCTAAGCTAACGGTCTGCTGTTAGTAATCTCATATCTAGCGTCAAAGTGGTGTCAAGATTTTCTTTGAACTCTAAAGTTAGAGAATATGCATAATTCCAAACTCTTTGAATGTAAAAACATTGTTCTTTAACAGCTAAGCTAAGGGGTTTACGTAACTTCTTCAAGTCTAGTATGCTAGCCGGCTAAGTTCATATGTTTATATGCAGCATACAACAAAACGACTGCGTCAAATCTTTTTGTTTAATGCTCAACATGAAAGCTAACACGCTAACGTCACTTCCTGGAGTTTTGTCATCTACTAAGTTTACAGTGAGTCATAATATCCTTTACAGTCTGTGTGCTAAGCTAACAGACTACTAGCTTTAGCTTCATTTGCAGCAACTATAATGTTTTCATATAACCCTCAAAAAGAAGGCTAACAAGCTAACTTTCTTGAGTCTCGTCAGGTAGCTTGCTTCGCTCACAGTGAGTCAATACTTGCTACGATGCTAAGCTAATCAGCGGCCATCGCTAGCTCAATATGCAACATGAAGGCAAAAGAGTGCTACCAATCCTCCCATCTAACTCTCATCAAGAAAGCTAAAGCTAGCATAACTTCCTTGACTTTTATTTGGTTGTTTGCTTAGCTCACAGTGAGTGATAAGTTCCCGCTGTTTTTAGTTTGCGTGCTAAGCTAAATGAACCAGCTGCTGGATGTAGCTTTATATTTAGCATAAAGACAAAAGACTGCTATCAAACTGCCCATCAAACTCTTGGTAAGACAGCTAACAAGCTAACAAAACTTCTTAAAGTATTGTCCAGTCGTCGTCACTTCTCATAGTTTTCAGCTTTCTGTGTGCTAAGCTAAGCTAGGCTAGCTGTCTGCTGGTAGTAACCCCATATTTAGCTTCAGAGTGGTGTCAAGATATTTATTTAGAATATGTGTGATTCCAAACTCTTTGAATATAAAAACGTTGGTTCAGTAAACGGCAGCTCTCTGTACTTATGACCCCCCAGTCAGTTTAGTTTGTTTGGAATTTCTCAAAGAAATGATCCAGAAATTCACCAGAAAAAAAGGCAAAGATTACAGCGAAATCTGAAAATAAGTGTAGCTGTACAACAGAAACAGTTTTCAGCCTCTAGTTTGGGAAGGAAATGATATGGTTTCATTAAATCAGTACAGCTTAAGTGTAATTTTAAGCTGACTTCAGACACTTGTGATGGAATGCGAGTTGTTGTTATGAAGGAACGCTGTGATTTATGATCCTGGCTGTCGGCCTGTTGGCATGTCGTGTGTGAATGTGTGCGTTTGTTTGCAAAATGAATAGAGAGGAAGCCGAGGCTACCGACATGAGCTGGCTCACGTTTATTTGTGTCTCTCCACACATTTTTTCAAAAATATGATGCGTTTATACTCAGCAATGGACTTCACGCTCTATTATTTCAGAAGTTACCACAATTGTCCAGTGGAAGTCATGGCTTTGGTGCCATCTTTTTGGTCTCTTGTAACGTTGCAGGTGACTTTTTCCTCTTTGATTCGTATTTATGGGAGCAAATATCCCATAATTGATGAGGAAAAGCACAACTCTGGTGACAAACATGATGTTTTTATACTCAGAAATATATTTAATAAGCTATTATTGCTGAAATTACTGCAATGCTGCCATTTTGCGACTGACTTGTCCGCTTTGATTTTTTTCATTTGAAGTACTTTAGAGCCAAAATGTCAAGATACTCACAAGGAAAAACACAAATATGATGTTTAATGCACTGCAATGCATTTATTGCTCTATTGTTGCAGAAATTACAGCTATGCACGTCTATTTTAAATGAAAGTTACAGGTTTAGTGGCGTCTTTTTGGTCCAACTAAACGTTGCCAGTGATCTTTTTTTCCTATTTGATTGTTTCATTTGAAGGATTTTAGAGCCTTAAGGGGAGGAAATATGTAGTCATTTGCAAGAAAAAGCAAAAATCTTGTGACAAATATGATGTTTTTATACTCAACAATGGATTTAATTGGTTATTACTTAAGAAATGTCCACAATGCATGCAGATTTTAATTAAAATATCAAGTAATTCACAAGGAAAAGCCAAAACTTTGCTGGAATTTTAGGCTTTCTTGTCAAAAAAACTAAGAAAAATAACCACATTGTGCTTTATTTGTTGGAACAAACATGAGTGAATAAAGGAGTTGATGAACATTTTCTTCTTTTAATCCCCTTGAATCATTCTGACAGGATTCAACCTGCACATTATCCAGGCTCAGTTTACGTGGGAATGTTCAAAAAATAAACCCATGTTCAGGCGAAATGGGCGGAAAACCCACAGCTGGCGATAATAAATGTGCTCATTCTGTATAATCACATACAAATCTAAAAATATAGACGTCTGCAGGGTTCGACTTTACTGAAATTCCTGCAAAGCTTCAGCTTCGAAAATCAAATTCCACTTCCAGGAGGGCACGAATCAGCTGATGTGAGCTCTGAGTTTTACTTTCTGAGCTGCTCCTCGGCAGGTTTCATGGCAGGAGGTTTCTCCGGGTGTGGCACCATCACTGCTCTTCCCAAATAAAGCCCCGACCGCAAGTTCTAGCCGAGCCCAACGTATAATACAGCCGCTGTGGTTTCCCCTGAAATAACTGCTGCTTTTGAAAGCCGTCCTCTCTGGCGGGGAGAGGCTCCACCACATAATTAGTGCTTTGGGACGTCACTAAACTGCCTGCATTAAAACGCTCACAAAGCCCGGAGCAGGTGGCCGTATTTGGGTTTTTTTAATCCTTCTTTTGAGTCGTGCGCTGTTTCCTGGTAATTTTGGGATGAATCTGTGGAGGGTGTAAAGCCAGCTGCCAAACACTGTCCTCTTACACTGCAAGGGAAGTTTCTGGGGTCACAAATTTAAACATTTTCCAACTATTTTCTCTCTTTATGGTTGAAAAATATCACTGTAGCTCGTATTTAGTAGTTTTACTCTTGAAAAAAAATACTTTCCTCCCAAAATCCTGCAGCACAATCAGTCAGATCTACATTTTTTTTCACTGTAGGCTCATTTTCTCTCCTGATTTAGTGACATGTTGATGGATTTTGAGCGCTATAGGCCTCGTCTTGTTTTAAAGACGACGCCGTTGCAGAGATGATTGCATACCTGCATGCAGCGTTTATAGACGCAGCCAGGAGCTGTCGACTTCGACCGCAGTCTAGTCGCTGAAGGTTTTATCTGCAATTTACCTGAAAGTGTCTGTCAGGGAGGAGAGGGCTTATTACACTTAATGCACCTCTTTTTAAACCACATATCATCTCCTATATGTTTAGCACTTGCAGCCACTGAACCTCCACAAATATGCAAATGTAGTTTTGTGGGTGCAGGGGAGGAATGTGAGCCTCTGATGGAGCCAAGAAGTGGAGCTTTATGGTCATATTTTGTGTTATTGCTTGTGTTTGGTGCGTATTTTAAAGCAAATTAGCTTCAACTGTGATGAAGCCCCTAAAATAAAAAAGAAATGTTACATTTTGTGATTTGAGGATTTAAAAAATGGTAAAAACTGAAGCAGCAGCAGAGGGAAAGATGCTCATTTTTAGCATCAAGCTTGAAAACTAGTGCAAACTACAGTTCCCATAATGCACCTTGATAAATGCCCTATTTTTTTTAATTCCACAGTTTAACTTTATAGCTCCTAATTCCAATGTGTAGAATGTGTGGAATTCCCCTTTAAACTGACTGGCTGGCTCCTACATGATTATGAGGCTTCTATTACACACTGGAGTTTATTACGTTTCAGCGTAATTTATGATTTTTTAAAAATTCCACGTCTCTCTTTTCATGCCAGTAATCAGCAGTGGAATGTAACTAAGTACATTTACTCGCATACTACCCCTAAATATAGACCTGAGTTGGCTGTACTTCATGTCTAATGCTGCTTTGTACTGTATTATATTATAATATATTTAAGCTTTTGATGCTTTAAGTACGTTTTGCTAATATTGCTTAATTACTTTTGTTTTAGAACAGTTTAACTGAACAAATAACGATTTTTTCCCCCAGTTTTCAAGTTCCAGCTTCACAAATGTGACAATTTCCTGCTTTTCTTTGTCGTATATGACAGTAAATTAAATATTTTGGGGGTTTTGCTGAATTTTATGAGTTAAAGGATTAAAGTAAAACCACAGGTTTGGTCCCTCCTGCAGATCTATTGTTAACAAACTTAGTTCTGTTTCCAGTTTTCCTCTAATCACAGTTTCCTGCTCAGATGCTGGATTAGATGTTTATTGGAATTAGAAGTTTTCACTGTTTGCTGGAGCTGAAAACAACTTCTAGACACGAGGAATGTGGAATGATTGCACGCTGCTTTTTGCAAAAAGGTTTAATCTTTAACTATGTTTCAAAAGCTTGTTATATGATCGAATGTGCATCTTTAGAAAGCGTCTGATGGTGGAGTGGAAGGAGGAAGTAGCCTGAAGTGGAAATACTGCAGGAAAGTAGCTGAGAGCTGAACTTCAGAGCAGGACCGGCAGGAGGAGGGCAGCGTTTAAAAGTTATAAAAACTGTGACAACAGCAGCAAATATCTGAGAAATAAATATATTTTATCATTCAAATAGGAACAAATAACCACATGTAAAAATACACAATGATAATAACTATTATTATTTAGTTTTCACCTATTTTTGTGTTTCACAGTCGACATGTTTAAGAATTTTTTTTGTCTGTGATTTGACTAAAAATCTGTAATTTAACCAAATCAATTTAAAGAAAAAAAAACTATAAAGAAGTTATTTACCGTTCTTCAGTCCTTCAGATCTATAATGTTCTTTTTAAATAACAAAAAATATTTTTAAAGTAATATTTTTACTAATTTGAAATAGTTTTAAAAGAAGCTATGTTGTAGTTTTACGATCAAACATTGTAAAAAAAAATGTATTAAATTAAAAAAAAAGCAAAAATACAGATTAGTGATGTGGACATAATTGACACTTTTGGCCTTTTTTAAAAAAAACATAAAAAAGTAAATTCATGTTTTTTTCTTATGATTTTATGAGATATTATCTGTAAAATTCAGTAAAAATGACAGATTATGGATATTTATCATTTCTAAAAAATGTTACTGTAACGTTAAGAGCAACCTACAAGTTCCCTTAATAATTAAAAGAAAAAAAATCTAATGTTCAAAGAATGTTTAAAGGATGTTTATCATTTCTAATAATGTTCCCTTAATGTTAAAAGTCAGACCTAATGTTTTAACTGGAACATTCAGAGAACGTTGTCAGATGATGTCACATGACAACATATATATATTATATGGTTTAATGAAACGTTCCTTTAGTGTGACATACTAACATAAGTAGAACATTCTGGGTGGTTTGGGGGACGCAGTGACACAATGTTATGGACGTTCTCAACACAACACTCAGGAAACGTTTAAAGAGAAACATCTGGGAATTTAAAAAAACACTGAAAACACTACAAGAACCTTCTCAGAACGTGTTTAGAACAGTGAAACTGCAGGTTTATGTGAACCACAGAGAGCACTGGGTTGGTTCCGTCCTTCTGGGGAACCTCTTCACACCTGAAGGCAGCTGGTGCAACCTGCTGGACAAACATGGAACCTCCAGTCCTGCTCTTGACATGAGTGTTGCAGCTTCATGATCATCTTCTCCTGTGCTCACACGCTGCTTCATGACATCAGGGGTGTAAGTGTCGGTGTCCAGATGTTCACCGCTGCTCTGCTTGACTCAGGCAGCTGTGCAGAAAACGGGACGGTCTACTCCAACAATGAGATGTGGAGGCCGGCGGCGTGTCGAGTGTGTTTGTGTGACTCTGGCTCTGTAGTTTGTGAGGACGAGGTTTGTGAGGAGCTCGGTGGCTGTTTGGAGGCCGCGACTCCGGAGGGCGAGTGTTGCCCCGTTTGCTCCACGGCGGCACCCAGGAATCGAACCGACGCAGGTAAACGGACCGAACTGCTGCTTCACTCTGAGGGAATTACAGAACCTTCAGCTCCCTTCCAGGTCGTCACTGTCGGGGTTTCAGCTCCCAGAACATGTGCATCTTACTGCTGAGGGCACATCTTGGATCAGAGGTTTCATGTCCAAGCAATAAAAGACCTCAAAAGGAATTAATTTTGATGTAATATACAGAATTATTGTCTCCAAAAAGTTTTTTTTTTTTTTTTATCATAGGCTGTCATAACGTTCAGCCCCAACAATTCAGACTGTGTTCATTTAAATGATCATATTTAAAGGAATTATTTCTGTATGCAGCTAAAATGTGACATAATAAATGATTAGAGTTTTTTTTTCACCCCTGTTGGTTTCCCATCATGCTTTAGACAGAAAGAGGATGAAACAGGTGTATTAAAAAATAGATATAACAAAAAAAAAAAAACAACATAAAATGCAAATAAAATAAAAATAATCAAACCATATTAATGACATAAAAAAAATCTAAAAATGTTTAGAGAACAATCAAAATATTAACTGAAAGTACAAAATAAAAAAGAAGTCAAAAAAATCTATATAAATGATATAATTCACAGAATAAATTGCAATCAAACAAAAATGTTGCTTGACTCATAAAATCTAAATAAAATCAAATATTTATAATAAATACAATAATATGAACACAGCAGTAAAGGATAATTATTTGACCAGAGTAAATACTGGGGAAAAAAATATATAGAAGCAGTTAAAGACTTCAGTTTAAAAAAATAATAATAAAGTGAGGTTTTTATTACACAAAATGAAAATGAAAAAGAAAAAGAAAATAATAAAATAGATGGAATTAAATATATAAAATACATAGAATAAAATAATAATATATCAGTTGAATAGAACAAACATGTATTTAATAGTGGCAAGCAAAAACATAAAAGAATAAAATAAAATACAAGCAGTAAAAAATAAAATAAAACAAATAAATAAAACTGTAAAGTAAAAAAAATGAAACTGTAATATTAGTTTTAAAAATTAAACTAAATTAAAAATTAATCGAAGCAACACTAAAGTAAATAAAATATATTAAAGCATGTATAAATATAATACAGTAAAATATTATCATTGTGTTATAATAGACACAATGGAGTTAAAATAAAAGTATTTAATGCAATATTACAGAAGTAAATATGAGTAAATAGAGAGAATTATAAAATAATAAAAGAGAGTTTGAACTATAAAGGACACAAGTCAAAAACAGAATAAATTCACTACAGGAAAAGAATAAAATAATTCATTCATAAGATTATAGGACAGTTACATATAGAATAAAGTCAGAATAAACGTGTGTTTGTCTTTGACTGAATATATATAAAAACATGTATATATGGAGCAACTTGTCAGAAACAGGACAACGATTTAGACCAGAGGTCTCCAATCCTGGTCCTGGAGTGCCACAGTCCTGCATGTTTTAGATGTTTCCTTCTTCCAACACACCTGATTTAACTGATCAGGATCATTATCAGGCTTCTGCAGAGCTTGATGATGAGCTGATCATGTGAATCAGTGTGATGGAAGAAGGGAAACATCTAAAACATGCAGGATTGTGGCCCTCCAGGATCAGGATTGGACACCCCTGGCTTAGAAGGTTCTAACATAGAATCTAGTTCAGTCAGTCTGCAGGTGTTTGTCCTTATGCTGGCTGATTAGTCCCCTGAGGACCAGAACAGGTGGAGTCTGGTCTCACCATCTTACTGCAGGTGTGACTGGTTTGGACCGACTTCTTCTGATCAGGTGAAGTTTAAACGTGTATTTTAGTCTAATTCTCAGCTTTCAACCTGAAACTGAGACTTTATTTCTGCTCTCAGACTTCATGTGGATAAAAACAGGAAGTGCAGGTTAACTTCTGACTTCCCAGGAAAACATCAGTGTCACTTTTAATGTTTGAGGTTTAAGGTTTTTACAGATTTCTGAGCCATGTATCCACGAAAATCAGCGTTTAGTCTCATGGTTATCAAGCGTAGCAGCAACCAGTACTTGTGGTTTTATCCAAGAACAGATTTACGCTGTGCACACATGAGTGAAACCCCCACAGTGATGCACTCTGGAAGGGAATCGCCCACGTCACTCATGTGGTTGCTGTTGTGTCTCATGAAAGATGGCTGCACAGAAAACGGCACCACCTACTCCAACAATCAGATCTGGAGCCCCGAGCCTTGTCGGGTCTGTATTTGTGAGTCGGGGACGGTGTTTTGTGAGGAGGTGGTCTGTGAAGAGCCGAGGGGCTGCGAGACAAGCGAGGCCCCAGAGGGCGAGTGTTGCCCCCAGTGCTCAGCACCACTCAGCCCTAACGTGGACAATAACACCGGTAATAAATGTTCTGAACACTGGGCTGTCTGTTCCATAAATACCACTCTGGGTCTGTTTATGTTGAGCTAATGTTGCTTTAATACAACCACTAGCATAGCTCATAAAGTGCAAAATGACAAAAAACAGTTTCCAACCTCCAAAATATCCTCGTCTCACTTTTGAATTTCCATTTTTTTCCACTAATTGCATCTTTTATTAAGTTGTGGCATCATCGTAACAAAGGTGATTTGCTTCAGTTGAATTTACTTAATGCTAGCAGGTAATGCTTCAAGTTAGCTTCAGGTTTTGTAAAACGAGACGAAGAGTTAATCATGAAACTCTTGGGAGGTCTTGGGAATGTAATGCTAAGTAGATTTATTGTTTGATGTATTCATGTTAGCATAATATACTTATAAATATTAGGTAGTCAGTGGGGACTTGGGAATCTAATGCTAGCATAGCATGCTAAAAGCTATGAAGCAATCTGTGATATTTTGTGAATTTAATGCTAAGTAGGCTTATTGTTTACAATATTCATGTTAGCATATCACGCTAAAAAAGAAATTTTAGTTCGGGGAGTCTTGCTAAGTAGGTATGTTGTTTTCACTGTTCTCGTTAGCATAGCATGCTAAAAGCTATGAAGCAATCTGTGATATTTTGTCAATTTAATGCAAAGTAGGTTTATTGTTTACAATATTCATGCTAGCATATCACGCTAAAAAAGAAATTTTAGTTAGTGGAGTCTTGCTAAGTAGGTATGTTGTTTTCAATATTCTCATTAGCATAGCATGCTAAAAGCTATGAAGCAATCTGTGATATTTTGTGAATCTAATGCTAAGTAGGTTTATTGTTTACAATATTCATGTTAGCATATCACGCTAAAAAAAACTTTTAGTTAGTGGAGTCTTGCTAAGTAGGTATGTTGTTTTCAATGTTCTCGTTAGCATAGCATGCTAAAAGCTATGAAGCAATCTGTGATATTTTGTGAATTTAGTGCTAAGTAGGTTTATTGTTTACAATATGCATGCTACCATATCACGCTAAAAAAAAGTTTTAGTAAGTGGAGTCCTGCTAAGTAGGTATATTGTTAGCATAGCATGCTAAAAATGGACTGTTGGGAATCTAATGCTAAGTAGATATATTGTTTCATATGGTTGTGTTAGCATAACGTGCTACAAAATATCAGATTGTCAATGGAGTCTTGGGAGGACTAGATTTTGGGTTGAAAGAGGTTCAAAAAAAGATCATTTAAACAATTTTTATGTCACAAAAAAAGGCCCTGCTGACGATTAGTCCGTATAATGTTTGCCGTCTTTTTCATCATCTGAATTTAGCATGTTGTGCTAATTTGCACCAAATGCAATGTACAGCTGAGGCTTTTGGGAACAACATTAGCTTAGCATAAATGATAAACACATTTATATTTTGATGTGAGGAAAAGCTCAGCCTAAGGGAAAAGGCTATCCTGCCATTAAGAAAATAAACATTATCACAGTTAGTTTTTATAGATACGTCGCCCTCCAGTGGTTGTAGTGAAGCGGTGACGTTTACAGCCACAAAGTTCATATGTGGAGGGGGAGGAGGAGGTCGGGGTGGATGAGTGGGTCAACAAAACACAGTGCATTTCCCATTTCACACCATTTTTTCCATAAATTCTATTATCTTTGTAACCATAACCAAGGCACCAATCTTGACCTAAACCTCAACAAAAAGTGGTGAAAAATATCTCTGCTATATTACGCTCTTAAATGTTGTATTCAGGAAGTAGTGACAAACTTCCTGTAGAGGGCCTGAACATGACTATTTGTACCAAACTTCATGCTGAGATAGTTTTTGGGATGTACACTTGCACATTCGCTGTAATCGTAGCTTATTTGAGAGGCCGTTTTCTGCAGAACCCATGAACTCCACATTTCCTGGATACTGACGTCCGTTGCTGTTCTCCCCCATAAAGATTCCTGCACAGAGGCCGGCACAGTCCACTCCAACAATGACATATGGAGGCCCGAGCCGTGTCGAGTCTGTATTTGTGAAATGGGGACGGTGTTTTGTGAGGACGTGGTTTGTGAGGATGTAGGTGACTGCGCTGCCACAGAGATCCCGGAGGGCGAATGCTGCCCCGTGTGTTCGGCTGCAGAACTGCGGCCTGGCGCTGATACCGAAGCTGGTAAACCGCCACGTATAACCTGCACATTTGTCCTCCTGAAGCCCTCCTCTTCAGGCTGTCGGACACGGCTGTGAAATATTGTGTTTTGAATCTGTGTCGTCGTCAGAGTTTCCCTTTGAGTGTGTTTTCAGTTTGCAGAAGGAATACATTTACTCTTTGCCAGATAAGCTCACTTCTCAACCAGCATGTGTTTGACAGCAGCAAAGCGTCTGGTAGCAGCAGCAGCGATGGAGCTACAACCGCTTTTACTGCCACATGAAAACAAGTTGAGCAAGTAGCTTATTTACCAAATAACGTGTATTCCTGTGGGAAATCACCGTTTGTCATGTTGGTAGAACTCCTTCATGTGCATTGTGATGACGATGATTTCTTCTTAACTACTTTTGTCCAGTGTTTGATGTTGTTTTCAGCATAAACAGACGTTCAATGTTGCACCAGAAGAATGATTTCTGGCATGGTCATTTGAATCGAGCATGTTGGAGTGAGACGTTTGTGTTTAAAGGACCAGTACACTGTAAAAAAAAAAAAAGTTAAAAAATGTTTTCTTTACAAGAATAGTTTTTTTTCCTTCACAATTTATTTTTTTTTAAATATACAAAGATGTCAGTAAAATTACAAGTAACTGTACTGTTTTAATTATAATAGTATTACATTTTTTCCCCCCACACATGGAAATCTAAACATTATAAAGCCCCTCAAAAAAATCCACCTAAAATAAGACTCAAGAAAACATTTCAATTATTGAACTTTCACAGAAGCTATTTTGGTGCCAAAACTACTGAAATTGTTTTGTTTTTTAAATTTAATTTAAATTTTTTTACAGTGTATGATTGCAGGTTTTAGCTTCATACCAAGAAAACACACATACTTGACAGTTTTTTGCAGCACTTTTGGATGCATTCAGTCGTGTTCTTCCTTCTCTTCCCGGCAGCCAAAGGTCTGGATTCATTGTTTCTGTGACATACGTCCATTTCATACTGTTAGGAAGTGAATGACGACTAACGGCTGCCTGGAAATGCAGGAATGTTGTCTAAATCACAGTAGCTGTGATGTGAAGTATGTGTGTTTTAAGGTGAACGTGCTAAAACCTGCACAGGTCTGGTTCCTCGCTGTCAGGTCCACGTGTCCACTGTTGCATCTCAGGTCCTGTTGTCCAGCCGTCTGTGTTGCTAATTGAATTTTTCTTGTGTTTGGTGAAGACACCTGCACAGAAAATGGAAAAGTCTACGGCAACAACGACATGTGGAGCCCGGAGCCCTGCAAGGTGTGCGTGTGCGACTCGGGCACGCCGGTGTGCGAGGACGTGGTTTGCGAGGACCTCGGCGGGTGCCAGAAGACGGTGACGCCGGAGGGGGAGTGCTGCCCAGTTTGCCTGACTGCAGGTTCAACGCTGACGCCCAGCACGGACCCTGAAACAGGTGAACAGCAGTTAACCTGCACAGCAGATAGCAGGACCCAACCAGGGCTGGACCAGAGTCCTGGACTTGTTGTTCCGACCTTTTGGCCTTCACTGTACGCAGCAGTTTTACCACAATCGGAACCAGAAATACTTCATTAATCCCAGAGGAGAAGCTGCTGCAGTCGCTCCAGTTCAAAGTCTGAGACAAATAAACACGAGTAGAAAAATCTGGTGTTCAAATGGATTTCTTCTTTAGAAAATTTGAAATTAATTAAATTATATGGCTGTTAGGGCCCATTTCTCTGGGATGCAACAGAATTAAAGACAACAGCAGAACAAAAAATAATCAATAAAATCATAATAAAGACACCACAGATATTAGTATAATCAAATACCTATATGAGAGTATTTTGGAGCGCTGTTCAACTTCAATCTGCACAGATGAGAGAAGAATTCAAAGCTTAGGAGGAAGATTTTTACATTTTTTGCCAATATTAAGGTAAAGGGTTCATAAGGTAAACTGAAATGACATAATCAGACAACTGATTTTTTTTTTTTTTCAAGAAAAATATAACTAGTACAATGGACGCTCTTCTTTTGAACTAAATATTTCTGTTTTCAGTTTTGTATTTGAGGACAAGTAAAGTTAATTTATTGACATTTGCAAATGAAATAAAATATGTGAATTAAAACACAATAAATATTAAAAACTACAGCTGGTTTCAACAAAAATATGAGTGAAACTAGTTTTAAATTTAACCAAAACTTAAACAATAAATGATCCTAACACCGCCAAGAACTCTTTAAAACTGCATTTTGTGTGAATTTGTGTCTCTTTATCCTTTAATTAAAAGGTCTGCTGATTATTATTATTTTTGATTAATTCACTAAACTTCTTGATTTCTTTAAACTGAAACGTCCATTTCAGCACAATTTGAAAAAAAAAAAGTGGTACTTTTCTATAATTTTTCCTTTTTGTTTCCCATATTTTTTTCCATATCATTGAAATACATGAAAATATCTGTAAAATTACACGAAATTGTCAAAAGCAATGTAGCAAACATGTAATGCTGAATAACCTTAAAACTGCAGATTTATCATAATTTTTCTCATATTTTCCTTTAATTTAATTGTTAAAACTCTTGAGTTTAATACTGTAAATATATAAATTTAAAACTGGATTGTAAAAAATTACATTTGAAAATGATAAACAACATTACTTGTAGGTTCTGCAGTTTTACACACATTTATTTTTTTAATGATAAATATGTTGTTGAATCAATGTGTACAATACATATAGTCATTAGTGATCAATTAAATAATTAACAATTATAATTAATAATTAGTTCATTCAACTACATTTCAGTTTTCCAAATAAAGGGAGAATCGTTGTTCATTTTGATGTAGTTTTGATCCTTGTGGTTCCCAAATAGTTGCAGAAATGTTCCAGATATTAACTGTGTGTTTGCCAGAAGATTTAAAGCCTCAAATCTCTTCTTCTGTGGTTTGTGATTTCTGCTCCTCTGCTGCAGGTCTGGATGAGAAGAAAGGCGACGGCTGCACGGTGGACGGCGAGCTCTACCACCACAACGACATCTGGAAACCCGAGCCGTGTCGCGTGTGCGTCTGCGACAACGGCGTGGCCATCTGCGACGAGGTTCAGTGCGACACGTTGTCCAACTGCGAGAAGGTGGTGACGCCTGAGGGCGAGTGCTGCCCCGTGTGCGACACCTTCGCCAGCGCCGGCAGGATGATCGGTGAGAAGAATCAGGGATCCACAACTCCAGGCCTCAACATCATCTCTGAAATGTCTTCTATAGACCTTAACGGATGATAATTGATGCATTTATTTCAATTATTGTGCAATTTAAGTTTGTTGTAACACTGATGTTTTGCATATATTCTTTAAAAAAAAGACCAAACTGTATAAATTAAGTTGAAATATGACTGGAATTGACTTTTTTTTTCCTTTTCACCCCTCAAGAAATTATGGGCTTCAAGGTGAGTCATTCATCTTAACCTGGATTCATATTTTTCTAATTGTTAATCTCTAAAAACTACAAAATGCTGATTTGCTTCCATTCCAGGGACAGAAAGGAGAACCTGGTGATATTCCATATGTAAGTCATCTCAGTAGGAAACACAGAAACTCAGCTGTTGTTGTTCTTTATTAGGAAGCTTTTAATATTAATAAAAACAACTATTTTCTGTGTTTTCCAGGTGGTGGGGCATCCTGGACTTCCAGGACCTGCAGTGAGTAATTTTCCTGTTTTTGCTCTTCACTGATAAACAGAATAAAAACACAGATGGCTCAAATAAGTTGTTTTTGACACTAGAGGGCGTCAGAAAATCATCTAATATATCAACAGGAGTACGGATTGTATTAAAAAACTTCACTTTTGTTGGGTTTATGGTTGGAAAACCGTCTGAAAACGTGTTTATTTTTGTGGTTTAGGGTCCTCCAGGAGCTCAGGGAAACACTGGACCAAGAGGCTTCAAAGGCAGAAGAGTAAGTATGAATCAGAACTTAACGAACAGACTCATACGTTTAATTTAAGAAAACAAATCTGAGCTTCACTCTTCAGGCTACAAGCACTTTTCTTCATTTTGTTGTCAACTCATAGAAAACCTGTGTTAATATCAAAGTGCTTCATCAGTTTAATGTATTACTGTTTGATGTGATGCTACATTCGTGTCTCTGCTGTCTTTCCTGTTTATTGTATTAACCTCCAACACGTCTAAACTCACATCAGGGAGAAAATCAGTCATCAAACTTTATTCCAAACGGTTAAACTTCTGTTCGTACAGCCAGAAAAAATCTATTCAATCTTCGTAAATGACAGTATAATGTCTTCACACTGAGCTGTCTTCATCAAACTAGACTTTAATCTGATGCTGTGAAGTATTAATACGACACTAAACACTCACAAATGTTAAGTAAAAATATGTAAGTATTTATAATAAAGTAGCAGGAAAGTCTACACGATGTATGAAATGGAAAAGCACTCGTTGTGGCTGTTTATCATTATAGTCATTATGTCTCTCCATATAATTCTATTATTATTACTTGTGCATGAATATTAGATTTTTGTCGATTTCACTCTGCAGTCAGTTTGTATAAAATAATGATTATTTTCACTGTAAAACAATCTGATGGTTAAAGTCTGATCAGTTAAATATAAACAGTTAGAACATTAAACTTTTATAAGTACTGACATATCTAACAGTTGAGAAGACGTGTAATGTTGATTAAATGTTAAAATAGTTTCAAATACATTATGACTTAATATAAACTGATCAGCAGTATTGATCTGCATGGTTCTAATGAAAATGTTTAGCGAGCAGGAGATGTGTGGAAAGCTGTGTGGTGCTAGCGTTAGTTAGCCTGACAGCTAACGTTAGCCTGACAGCTAACGGTTGGTTTTAGATTTGATGTGAGACTGAATTTTCCAGATTAACAAGGAGTCGAAATCTGATTTTACATGAAACTAACTCGGGTTATCCTTTCAAGACAGCTTTTTTTTTATTATTTAGAATTAGTCTTTATCTAAAATCACATGTTTTTATCAGCTGTCTTCGTTGCTAACGGGTCGTTTAATTTCAGAAATTCTCATATTTTACAAGCTCTTTGTATGTTTACTGTGCAAAGATTTTAAAATATGAAATAGCTAGTGTGCAAAACTGTCAGGTGAATGTGGAAAAGTGAAAGCTGCAGTATTTTCCTCTAAAATGAACACAGCAACACAGTTTTTTTATTTCATGAAGATCCAAAACTGGAAATCTGCAAATAAAAATCAGAAAAAAAATCTCATTTTAACCAATACTCGTATGTAAATGGATTACAAAACACATTTAACACTAAATCAGTCTTTCCTCGATGAACAGTGTGTTTTCTCTCATGAATAATATTTCGATGTTCAATCTGCAGGGATTCCAGGGACCTCCAGGGTTTGACGGAGAGCCTGGTGTTCCAGGAAACCCAGGAGAACCAGGACCGCCTGGATACCCTGCTGCACCGGGGGTGAGTCATCTAGACTTCAAAGCACGTCAATGTCAAGTGATTCACCTCCCGATCACGGCATTATTTCTGAGTAGAGCAGTCGGACACAAGACTTTGAGTCCACCAGTGGTTTACAACCATCCAAACTGCATAAACATGATTATAAAACAAGCAGCAGAACTTTCTGAGTGTTGGACCGATGGGCTGCATCGTGGCTCCACATGGAGAAGAATAAATAAATAAAAATCTTATAGTGAGACTTTACAAAGATGGGAATGGATCCAGGAAGATCAGCGAGCAATCAGTGGAAGCAGCAGGAATCAGGAAGTATAGAGGAGCCATAGGAGCACCAATCAGAGCTGCAGTAGATGTTCTCCTACAATAACTCCACGGACTGACTTTCACAATGTAGCTGTGAGAAGATGGCAGCTGTTTCAGACTTGGCACAGCGGCTCAGTCTTTTTTTGTCAGATGAAGCTCAGACAGAACATGTTTGGTGTGAACCCGACCAGGACCGCCCCAGTGAAGGCAGAGTCCTGACAGTGAAGCACGGAGGAGGGAGTGTGATGGCAAAACATGTCAGGGAAAGAAACCACAAAAACACACACATCTACTACTTAAAATGACCACAATGAGACACAAAGACACCTCAAAAAGACACAAAATCTCCCTAAAACATGCAAAATGACCTCAAAGAGGCGAGAAAGTGACCACGAAAAGATGCTAATGAGTCCTGACAGTGAAGCACAGAGGAGGGAGTGTGATGTTAAGTGTTGTGGAGATAATATTCATAGATGAATGTGTGTGGATGGACCAAAACACTGTCTGACATGATGACACCCAGTCTGCAGAAGCTTGAAGAAGAAGAATATCCCAGCATGAGAACCATCCAAAGCACACAAGAGGTTCTAAAGAAGGTTAAAAATAATCCGACCTGGACAGTTTGTGTCCTGACTTGAATCCAATAAAACATCTGAGAAGTAACGCAAGTGTTGGGAGATGTTGCAGACGGCTGTTGTCACTTCTGTTGATGTCTAGTTTCAGGCCCCTAAACATGTATTCTTGATCAAATCTCTTCCCAAAAGGGACACCTGGTGTCTCAGATGGCGTCGGGTTTCAGTGAGAAGTCGGGTCTTGCTGGGATGGTGACAGGAACCCGGGTGAGAGCTGCACTGGAAACAAACTGTACACGTCACATATGAAGCGTTTTGGACCAGTTGTAACCACAGTCTGCTATTTCAGGGGGAAGCGGGACCACGAGGACTCCCAGGGTCGCCCGGATCAGCTGTAAGTTCTGCCTCAAGACTCGAATCGCAAAGTTTCACAGAGGATTTTATGCACTAGCTGAAAATGTGACCTCTGGCCTTCTTGTTCAGGGCCCACCTGGTGGCCAGGGGATCCCTGGAGAGGCCGGAGACACGGGGCCCATGGTAGGATCATTTCTGCTCCTCGCATTCAACCTGATTCTAAACCTGAGAGAGTGAAATTTAAATGTGTGTGTGCAGGGAGAGCCGGGTCATCGAGGACCAGACGGACCGTCGGGAAAAGCAGGACCTGATGTGAGTCCAACAACCACATCTCCTCGTCTGGTTTTAGGGATTCTAAATCTGTAAGAAATTTAAGAATCATACTTTCTACTCAGGGAGAAGCCGGACCTTCAGGTGCAACAGGAGAAACCGGATTTCCAGGATCAGCGGTAACCCGTCGAGTTCACGGCTACATTAAATGAACTGATTAAATGAGCAGAACACGTGGTGAAGGGTCGCTGTCTGTTCGCTTGCAGGGTGCCAGAGGATTCCCAGGACTCCCAGGTCATCCAGGACTGAAAGGCCACAAAGTACATCCTCGTTTTTAACCCTTAATGTTCATGTTTTCATGTGAGAAAAATCAAAAGCTGATCAGTTTTAAATCTCGCTAACAGGGAACCGCTGGACTGGTTGGGTCAAGAGGTGAATCTGGACCAGCAGGAAACAAGGTGTGAAATAAATACTAATTATGATGTTGTTTGGGCTCTTTAAAGATGTTCTGACAGCAGCTTTTTGTTCATAGAAAACTGCTCATTTCAGTCGTGTGTGTTCTGTCTTGCAGGGAGTTTCTGGTACTCCAGGCGGTATGGGCGCCCCCGGACCCGTGGTGGGTAGAACTCACAGTCGCTGCAGAACCAGGAGTCCGACGCACAAATACTGAACCTGTTGTTTTGTTTCAGGGACCAGTCGGCATGCAGGGAGAACGAGGCAGAATCGGGCCAACCGGTCCTGTGGTACGAATAAACGTACAATTAAAGCAAAAATGCAGAATGATGTTTCAGGTTTGAGACATTTTTGTTGTTGTTTTTCTCTCTCAGGGTAAACGTGGGACACCGGGACACGTTGGCAAACCAGGTCCTCTGGTAAGAAATCTGTTTACATCCACACTGAGATCATGTGAGCAGAGAAACTCGTCAGCAGTTATTGTTGTCATCCCATAAATGTGTTGAGAAAAAAAGTCCACATCCGCCTCAATCTTAACAGATACTAAAAAGAGCTGCACATCCATTTCCTGTTGATCGATGAATCCTCTGAACCCAAACAGCTGCCAGCACATTTAAAAGACGTCATCTTTATTTTAAAAAATTGCCAAAATGACGCCATTTATCAGCAAGAAACCGTAAAACCTGAGAAAATCAGTGCATTTCCACCTTTTACATGTGGTTCAATGTGGAAAATGAACCAAATGTCAGATTATGTTTGTGATGGTTCATTCAGATAAAAAAAACAAACAAATTGTTTGCTCGAACCAGATTTTAAATTCTTTGCTCCTCGATCAGTCACATGATTAAAATTCAGGGTTTATTTGGGTGAACTGAGGCAGTGTTTTGCAGAGAGCAGAGAGGAGACAAGTATGGAAATAAATGAAAAATCTAAGTCATAAAATATCTATAATATGTAGAATTTACTTTTTTTCAGTATTTGTAAAAGCTTTTGTCCCGTTGAAAAACATTTGACATTGATTCCAGATTATTTTTTTCAATTTTTGTACAATAAAAAGTCAAAGAAATTTACCTTTTTATATATAATTTTTCAAATTATTTTTATTTTAGCTGCACAGATGACATCTCAGAGTTCTCTCTAATGCAGGGGT